ATTTTTGCTGTTTTTAAGAAGAATGTGGAGAATTTATTGAACACCTCTATCAAAACTCTGCAAACAGATGGAGGTACAAAATACAAACCACTTCTCCCTATTCTCTCTGATTCAGGCATCACTCGTCGTCTCTCATGTCCTCATATTCATGAACAAAATAGGGCTATAGAACGATGCCATCGCCATATTGTTGAAATGGGTCTCACCTTCCTGGCTACGGCTTCAGTGCCCAAACATTACTGGTATGATGCCTTTGAGACTGCATTTTTTTTTAATTAACTGGCTCTCTTCTCCAATACTGGACATGAATTCTCCCTTAGAGTGTCTCTTTGGCACTAAATTTGATCACACTATGTTGCGCACTTTTGGATGTGCTTGCTATCCACATCTCAGACCCTATAACCGTTCTAAGCTAGACTATCGGTCCAAGCGTTGTTTATTTCTAGGTTATAGTTTACATCACAAAGGGTACAAATGCTTGGACTTAACATCTGGACGTCTATATATTTCTCGTAATGTGGTTTTTGATGAACATACCTTTCCATGCACTTTTGGCGGCCCAACTCCACCTCCCAAATCGGCTACTGACACTGTGGTTGGCCCTCCTATCGTTACATACCCGTGGCCCTCTCCTCAGACCATTCCCGTACCCACCAACACCACATCCCCTAGCCCACCTATTCTATCTACTAGTGTTAGTTCTGTCGAGTTTCTACCATCATCATCAACCCCATCAGATACGCCCTCTTGCTCCACTACGACTCCACTTAATGCTCACCCCATGATGACATGGAGCAAGAGTGGCATTTGCAAGTCAAACCCTCAGTACGCTTTAGAATCCTCTATTGACCCCGATCTTGAACCCTCTTGCTACACTATTGCCAAGAAAGATCCCCGTTAGGTACTCGCCATGGAAGATGAATACAAAGCGTTGTTACGCAATGATACCTGGGATCTTGTACCTCCACCTCCTCATAAGAACATTGTGGGAAATAGATGGGTTTATAAGACTAAGAGACGTCTGAATGGGTCCACCGAAAGATACAAGGCGCGATTGGTGGCGCAAGGGTTTACTCAACAAGCCAGTATTGACTTTGCTGAGACTTTTAGTCCGATGGTTAAACCGACCACTATTCGGTTAATAATATCTCTTGCAGTTCACTATGGCTTGAATCTTAGACAACTTGATATGAGCAATGCCTTCCTTCAAGCCTATCTCAGTGAAGAGGTATTTATGAAACAACCCATGGGTTTCGTTGATGTAGCATGACCACATTTTGTTTGTCGTCTTAAACGTTCCCTTTATGGTTTGAAACAAGCCACGCGGGCTTGGTTTACTCGATTAAATGATCATTTGGTTCACCTTGGTTTTCTGGAATCCCGAGTAGATAGTTCTTTATTCATGTGGAAGACTGGCACTGATGTCATTTTTCTTCTTGTATATGTGGATGACTTATTGATCACTGGCTCTTCTACTTCTGCATTTACTCAACTCATCTCTCAGCTCTCTATCGCTTTTGCTCTTCGAAATCTTGGGGAAGTTCATTACTTTCTGGGTTTGGAACTGCATCGCAGTTCAGATGGGGTGCACCTATCCCAACGTAAATATATTCATGATATTCTTGTCAGGACCAAGATGCATGAGGCTAAACCCGTTCATACACCGCTGGCGGCATCTACCAGACTTGATGTGAGCAATGGTTATCCTCTTCCAGATGCCATCGAATATCGCAGTGTGGTGGGGGCACTACAATATGTTACCCTTACTTGGCCAGACATCAGCTTCTCCATTAACAAAGTTTGTCAATTTATGAAAGAAGCCACTGATGTTCATTGGAGTGCAGTCAAGTGGATCCTCCGCTATCTCAAGTCCACAATTGGTCATGTCATTACTTTTCGTACTTCTCCAGAATTGGCTCTCGAAGCCTTTTCTGATGCTGGCTAGGCTAGTTGCCCTATTGATCGTCGCTCCCAAGGGGGTTTCTGTGTTTACCTGGGTCGTAATCTGATTTCATGGAGCTCTCGTAAATAGTCCACGGTTTCTCGCTCTAGCACAGAATCAGAATATCGTAGTCTTGCCTCTACTGCCACTGAAATTCTTTGGCTCTAGATGTTACTCACGGAGCTTGGATTGAAGCTCCCTCGCCCACCTGTCATCTGGTGCGACAATTTGAGTGCCAAGTTTCTCTCCTCCAATCCTGTTCACCATTCTCGCACCAAGCACATAGAATTGGATGTTCACTTTATACGGGAAAAAGTTGCGGCTGGCTTTCTACTGATCAATCACATTCCCAACCATGATCAGATTACACACATTCTTATTAAACCGTTGTCTGCAACACGGTTTCATGACCTTACAACCAAGCTTACCGTCTCCAAGAGACCGCTAATCTTGCGGGAGGATTTTAGAGTATCTCAATAGTTATGATAGACTTGTAACTAGGATGGGTATCTCTGATAGCTATCATAGATAATTGATCACCTTATCTCATTATCATGTAATTTTCTAGATAAACTCTAACTCTATAATTGTTATCTTCTGTACAATTATCTTGTAATTTCTCTATTTAAATGAKTCAAGAGACCAATCATCACTGACTGAGTCATTCCATTCTCATTGTTTTTAGTATTGCTCTTATAAATTTAAAAGTGTTATTGTTTAGGTTGATTTTTTCCTTTGCTACAATCAGCTAGAGACCTTACCATCAATTAGGTTGACACCTTCTCTTGTTTAGCTTCATTTTAAATTAAATGGAACAATTAGCTCAATTGATAGGGTCTCTCGTTTATGGGTTTAAGGGATGAGCTACAAGCAGTGGCGGTTCTATGTAGAAGTTAGTGTTGTCAATTGCTCTCATTGAGATTTGAAAAAAAWTATTTAATTATGAAAATTATGAAGAAATTTAATTGTTTTTTCCACAACAATTGTCCCCACTCAAATAAAATAGTAGGGGGTCAAGTAAAATTTGACTTATTAAATGAGGTCATATTTTAAAGATGAATAGGTAAAAAAAAGGAGAAATATACAAAATTGATACCTATGTCCCTATTTCATATTGACCAAGTTATGAGGTTTGGGATTTAGGGCTTTAAATCTTATGTGTTTTTTGTTTGTTTTCTTTCTTCCATTTCACCCTCTCAACAGTTCAATCTCATCTCTCTACTTCGTCTCCTTAAACATAGAGATAACGATTTTCCTCATTCCCCTCGGGTATGCATCATTTCTATAAAGTACTTTGCCCCCATTGATCAAAGGTCTTGATCCGCCACTAGCTACAAGATCTCTCGTTTTCAGGTTCTTTGCCTATTATGGGTGTTCAAGATCTTGGAAGCCACCCCCTTCACCTATGGTTAAAGTCAATGTTGATGGGGCTTCTGGTCCATCGTTGTCTAGGTCTAATTGAGGGCTGGATTATCATCCAAGATAGTAGTGGTAATTTTATTATGATTTGAATTGTTAACATCCATTAGGATGTTCTGGAGCTGGTTCACTTGTGGTCTGCACTTATAATTTTAATTTATTTGCCTAGAATGAGATGCACAAAAGATACTTCACTCCTTGTTGGACCGTAGTATAGTGGTTCCTTGAGGAATTCATCATGACTTATTATCTAGGCTATAGTACTAAGAGATCACATTAACATCCCACAGAAGGCACCCCACAAGTGCCTCACATGTACATATCTCAGTGTGCATTAGAAACATCTCTCATATTTATCATGAGGGAAGATGTTCTTAATACACACCACGGGTGGAGGTGTTGTTGGGCGCCAATCTGATGTCTTATACTTGATTTATAATATTGCTGACTTTTTTGGTTACTTTTGCGGTGGTGGATGATTTGGTGCAATGAATTAGAAAAAGTTGAAAGATAATAAAGTGGTGTAGGTATTTATCATTTCTTTTTTGAATTTTTAGCTTTGATGACTAAGTCACCAATATAATGATCGATATGGCAATATCCATATCCCCTCCTAAAACCAATCCTCTCAACTATGAATTATGTACCGACATCTGATTGGGCCCAAAGTTTGCGTGTGATATACTCAGATGATGATCTACAATATCAATGACTTTTATCTGTCATAAAGCCATTAATTGGCTAGACCCAAAACCAAGTGAATCAAATAATGGGCATTTTTGGCATTAGATTCAAATAATATCCAAAACCCTGTAAAGGTATTCTTGATGTATAAAGATGGAAAAATTTTCGATTTTGTGTTTAGTGTCATTTTGGTCTCCGAAATGTGAAAATTCAATATCGAATTTTTAAAAGGTGTCAATCTAGTACTTGTTGTTAATCAATTTGTTTATCAGGCGTTAAGTGATATTTGAAAAGACACAAATGCCCTTTGAGTGTTATCTAATTTTCATTATCAACCATCCACATGGTAATAAAAATAAACAGTCTCAAATCCTTGCTTCTTCTATTCAAGAAAGTTGGGATTAAGTCTCAGTGGACATTCTGGTGACCCCAACTTTCTTGAACAGAAGAGATAAAGATTTGGAACTGTTCATTTTTTGTCAACATTTAGATGGTTGATAAAGAGAATTAGATGACACTCGAACATATTTGTGTCTTTTCAAATGATGCTTAAACAACTGGTTAATGACCTAGTTAATGGCAGGTACTAGATTGGCAAGTTTGGAAAGTTCGGTACTAAATTATTGCATTTTAAAGTTTGAAGACTAAAATGACACTAGACCTAAAATACAAGGTACTAATCTAGAATTTTCCCAATAAAGAATCCTTGATGTTTCATTATTTGTTAAAACTTGATGGTTGGTATAAAGGATTTTTTTTTTCATTTAATAAAAAAACAACAGAATGGCTGTAATCCATGATTTTAAAACCTACCCAAAATTTGAACCGTTTTGGGCAACTGTTTCAGGGTCAGCAATCTGACTATCCTGTTTGTACCGATAATTCGTTGCAATTTAAAAAAATTAAAGAATAATTAAAATAGAAAATGGTCAAAATTATTGTCCGGTTCTAATGAGTTGATGGTTCAACCGCCTAGCTCAACAGGTCATTCATCAAATCAACAATTTTTATCAAGATTTCAGTTCAGAGGTGAGAAGAGGTGAAACAGAACCGGTTGACGGGACGGTTCGGTCCGACCGTTCGGGCCAGGCAAAGGACGGTTTGAAAACCATATGGCTAAGCTATAATCAGCTGGAGCCCAGCATCTAAGTAAAAGCTTTTGCTTGCATTTCTCCCTCTTCCCCTACGCTCTCCCCCAAACACCCTCTCCATGGCACCATCCAGCCAGGTGAAGGTGATAGAGTTCTACAAAATCGCTCCACCACCTGGTTCAGTCGCTCCGGCATCACTCCCTCTCACCTTCTTCGATCTATTTTGGTTACCTTTCCCACCTCCACAACTCCTCTACTTCTACGAATTACCCCATCCACTCGCTCACTTCACAAACACTCTCCTTCCCCGCATCAAACACTCTCTCTCCCTCACCCTCCTGCACTTTTACCCATTCGCCGGAAACCTCTCATGGCCAGAAGAATCTCCCAACCCCATGATCCACTACAAGGGAGGCGACTCGGTCTCGCTAACCATCGCCCGGTCGGAAGGTGGCTTCCACCGTCTCTCCGGCAACCAGGCGAGAGAGTCGAAGGAATTGCATCCCCTCGTCCCTCAATTGCCAGTATCTGGATCGGTCGTCCCGATGTTGGCATTGCAAGTGACTGTGTTTCCAAATTCCGGCATCTGCGTCGGAGTCACCATGCCCCACGCGGTTGCCGACGCCAAAACAATTTTGAACTTCGTGAACTCTTGGGCTTCGATTTGCAAGTTTGGTGAGGCATCTCTGTCAACCCAGTCTCTCCCATTCTTTGACAAGACAGTGATCAAGGACCCAAGAGGCATCGAGAAGAGATACTTGAGCGAGCTGACAAACTACTTTCGGTCCAAGTTCAGAGACCGACGGTTAGGCGTTCTGGACTTTGGTCTGCCGGACGACATCGTCCGAGCCACGTTCGAGTTGAGTCGAGCCAATATCGCAAGGCTGAAGGAACGAGTCTTGGCCTTGCAGAAGAAAGACAAACAGCTACCACCATCTCGTTTCTCGACCTTCACAGTACTGTGCGCTTATATCTGGGTTTGCCTGGTAAAAGCTGGGGACGAAAGGGTTTCTTTTTCGTTTAACGTGGACTGCAGAACTCGCCTAAAGCCTCCGGTACCGGCAACGTACTTTGGTAACTGTGTGGGGACTCGTGTAGTGACGGCCGAGAGGGCTGATTTTATGAGACAAGATGGGATCGTCGTCGCAGCAAAGCTGATAGAAGACTCGATCAATGGTTTGAACGATGGAAGTCTGGACGGAGCAGAGTTCTGGATTTCACGCTTGCTGTCTTCTGGGGTTAAGGGAAAGGTTTGGGCTGCTGGGTCGCCACGACTAGGGATATACGAAGCGGATTTTGGATGGGGGAGACCGAAGAAGGTGGAATTGGCGTCAATCGACAAAACGGGAGCCATCTTTATATCGGAAAGCTGCAACGGAGATGGTGGGGCTGAAATCACTCTGACGCTCAGAGGACCCGAGATGGATGCCTTTGCTTCTGTATTTGTTAATGGTCTTGAGGGAAAAGGCTATGCGATGTACCGCTCTGGACTCTGAAGCTTGCACAGTATGCGATTGAAGATGTTTTCAATCGCCACTTCCATCCATGGACCAGTCGTTTTCATTGTTTATCTTGCTCCAACTCACTCACGACTCTGTCATTTGTCGCTTTTCTTTTTTTCTCTGAATTCCAGAGAAGACAGAACTTACATTTCCTTTTCTTTTAATCTTCTATCTTTATCTAAACCAATAGTTATCCTGAGTGCTGGTGCCATGCTACTATTTCTCAGTGCAATCTTCTTAGGGGATTTATGGATATTATGCTTAGGTGATGGCTACGCAATTTGTGCTCCCTAATGCACTTTTTGTGAGGCCTGATCACTATATGGAGTATAGCATCTAGAGAAGATGAATGATTTAGTAGAATAACATCAAACGGATGGAGGTAATTTTTTTCTGACTTTGTCCTTTTGTCATTTGGGGTAATGGAGGTGGAAAGTCTAAGATCGGATCAAATTATATGTAAAGTTTATAGTTAATAATTCATTATTATGTATTAATTTATATATACACACACGATACACAGGTTGGGTTTGGATTGGGTCAGAGAGAGAGCTGACAAGGACTAGACCAAAGAAAATAAAAAATCTTTCCACTTAATTCTCTCAAATAGATCCCTTCGTGGGCAGCGCTAGGATTTGGTCTTTGTCAAAATTCCAATGGGCCCCGCTCGTGAATATTGTCTTGGGTACAAAGTAAATCTGGAGAGCTATTTGATATTTCTACAAAAAATCTGCAAGAATGATTGACTCGTACGTGGACATGGATGAACCTAAACCTTGTATGACTATTTTTACATTGTCCAATTGATCTCAGATTGAATTTGGGATCAAATTCAAATTCAGCAAGGAATTTTTAATAATTAGAACAAATCCAGATGTGATTGAATCCTACCTAAAGCTAAATCCAATCCCTCTTTAGGTTTGAAGGGTAAATAAGCACAGATACACCCATATCTATGCTGAAATTTAATCAATTATAATTGAATCATGAAGGCAATTAGGATTAAACATTAGACCACTTTATCAAATGGATTCTAATATTATGTATATGTTTGGTATAACTTCCATTTATTAAATAAACATTTATATTTGATTTGTCTTTAAAACTGAGAAAAAGTATTTGACAAACTATTTGTTGACAATTAAGTATGTGTTTGGTTTGTTTACGTTTATTGAGTAAATGCAGCCATATAGGTGCCCTATTAGCAAAAGCCTCATTAATTGTATCTGTACTTGTCGATGTTTGCCAAAAGCAAGTATCGATTTCTATGTGCCTCTCCCGTTTTAGGAAGCTCCAAAATGAAGCTTTCCTGAAACGGGTAGGTATTTATTAGCACTTTGCTGATATGGTGTCTAATGGTGCCTATGTGTCATAAATGCTCTCATTAATTGTTTTTCTCAGTTTTACAGTCACACAAGTACAAAATATTTACTTAATAAACATAAATAGAATCACACACCTTCTAACATCAGCCAAACAGTGAATAAACACCTAAAATTTGGAGAAACCGTTAAAATAAAGCTTCCCCTAACGTTACACACATAAACCAACTTTTATTAATACTGATACAAACGAATCAGCATGATGAAATAAATAAACAGAAGCAATACCAAACATCGCCTATATCTAAAAACTGTTTTAACTTAAACGTGAAGTGAGGAACCTGAATATTTTTTTATTCACTAGTAATTCCATCTACAGACATCATCATTAGAGCAAGCATTTTATTGTAGATCACCTGGGCACGCATGATCCTTGTTTGTTTTAAATTCAAAACAAAATGGTCTTTTTCTTGGGTGGGGTGGTTAGTATGTCCATGTGCGGTAGGTTGAATATGCTACAAAGTTTTAGGTTTTAATTTAATGAGTTAAAGCTCATATTGTATATGGTTGGACCGTTAGAATTGAAATTTGGTTGCAGTTTTAATTTTTATTTTTTTGGTTATTTTGATTTTGCAAATTTCTAACCAGTTGAACCTTTATGAGTCATTAAAATCTAGTTGGGTAAGTTGGGGTTTTAGCATGCTTTCAAAATCGGATTGGATCGGATGGTTGGATCAGAAAAACTGGGAATAGATTAGGTGATCATTTCCGTTTTTCCTTAAAATCATATTTTCTCCAAAAATCGCTGAGTTTGGTCAGTAAATCGCTGATTTGAGTGGTTAACTGTTTGAACGGTTAGACCATTTGAACTGGGAACTGGACTCCTAACCGGTTCATTCTCCAAGTTGATTTTAAAAACCTTAGATTTTAGCAACCTACTTGAATTTAACAACTCACTGATTCATTATTATATTCAGAATATTGAGCTATTAACCTATTACATTATTTGTATTTAAAAAGTATTGCAATTTTCCCCATACCTGGCCTCCTCGACCCAATCCTAATGCGGATGGGATTAATAGGGATATCCAATCAAAGACGGGGATAAGAGTGAAGTCACTCAAAATATATTTAAAATATTATTTATATTTTATTTTTTTTATTTTAAATAAATATTATTTTCAAAAAAAATTATTAAAAAATTTGAGGATTCAAGTTCCCAATGGGAAACCTGTCTCCATTGGGAACAAAAAACTTTAAAAATTATGGAAAAATTTTTAAAATTTTTAAAATTTTAAAAATTATGGACATAATCCTAGAAGACAAAACTCCAAAAATACCATAAAAGCCCGGAGTGGTCTAGATTTGATAAGCTACAAGTGAAGCTTATAGTCTTTTCGGGCTTCCTAGCTTCCCGATGTGTCTAGCAAAAATTCCAAAAGGGTCGATTGAAACTCTTGATACGTGACTAAGCATTGACACAAGTACGTTCTTCTCATTTTCTTCTTCTTCTTCTTCTTCTTCTTCTTTTTCTACTACTACTACTACTACTACTACTACTACTACTACTACTACTACTAATTGAAACGAGTTGCAGCGGTAGGAGGGAGAAGAGGAAAGAAATGGTTCAGAGGAGGGTGAAGAAGAAGAAGAAGAAGAAGAAGAAGAAGAAGAAGGATATATATAGAGAGAGCGAGAGATCAGTAGAAGAGTCAGAGTTGGGTTCAGATCTATTGCTGCTGCAATTGCAACAGCGGTGATGAAACAGAGGGAGAGAGAAATGGGAGAGAAGAAGAAGAAAAAGAAGAAAAAGAAGAAGAAGAAGAAGAAGAAGAAGAAGAGAGTAGGAGAGGGAGGCCGGAGGTGGAGATCGATCTAGGTTCACCACCGCTTGTGCTTTGTTTTCTGTTTTGTCAATTTGGGGAAATTTAGGGGCACTTTTATAATTTTGAAAAATTGGTGGCATTTTGGTAATGTTTGGTAAACTTGATCAAATCGGGTCCAAGGGTTAAATCGAGTTTCCGATCCAATGGTGGGTAATTTCGGATAAAAAAATGGAGGGTTGAGATGGGTCTGACCGCAGGGAGTGGGTTTGTGTGTAGACCCATGAGATTGGCCAAAACGAAACCTTTTTAGATGGAAGGGTAAATGAGGATATTTTTGACTGAAATTTCACAAGATGGGGTTTTTGGACATTTTGAATTGATTGGTAGGGTTAGATTGGCCTGATTAGGCCTGGATTGGGCAGATCTGGAAAGGGATTAATTCGACCAATCTGGAGCCTTGAAATGAAATCTATGTGTGATCGATGGGCAAACCGAGAAAAAATACTATTATGTTTTGGAGTGATCAAAAGTGTTTGATCAAGAATCTAGGGTGAATTGGAGTTTAGGCGGCGAACCGAGCAAAAATTGGGTGCTAACACTTGTTGGCGTGGAACACTAGTTGTTGTGAAACATATTAATTCTTCCATCTCTTTCAGATGTTCGAATAGTGATGTAAGATACTATTTGATGCAATAGTTCCCTAATCAGTAAAACAGTAGTTCATTTCTTAAACTTTGACATTTGGGGGAGTCCAAATTTGCTACCGGGTTAGTGCAATCGTTTGAATCGCATTCATGTACTACTATGTTCCCAAAAGATATACCTTCCATGGGTGATGCCATAACAATGGTGGGGGATACAAAGCTTTGGAGGAAAAGTAGCATTAGTAGTGGTGGCAACAATACTATCAAAGACCCTCACCTATTACAACGATTTTGTAGGAACAAAGATGAGTTCCTTCAGGCCAATCAATTTTTTCTTTAATAAATTCTCCTTTTCTATGTATTTTTTTTTTCTTGCCAAATTCTATATCATGGTCCAAGATAGTTAGATCATGTTTAGAGAATGATGCATATATGGAAAAAGGGTTTTAATATTTCAATGATTATCAATAAATCTTTTTTTTTATGGATTTGATTTCTTATAAATTAAAAGATAAACTTGAGGTATAAATCAATTATTTTGCACAGGTGAATGTGTAAGTGGGACCTACAAGTCTTATTTTGTACAAATAAAAGTGTATGTGGGGCCCATTAGTGCTAAATGTACATTGATGTATCAATGTATCAATACTTGTTTGTTCTACTATGTATACTTACCAAACAGTCTTTTTGTCTTTTTAGCTTTTAAGAAGATCTATTAAAAAATTGCTACCAAACAGTCTTTGGTCTTTAAAAATCTACTCATGAAAGCTCGTTAGTCTTTTAAGGTTTTGAGCTTTTGAAAGATCTTCTTAAAAAKACTTGCCAAACGCCTCCTAAGTCTTTCCATTTTGGTTGTCATAGCAGAATTGAAGCTGAGGAAAGTTCAAGATTGGAACTATATATACGCCGGTCGACAACCTCTTTGTTGTCCAACACAACAAGGAGAGGAGAATTGCGAGGAGGAGGACTGAGAACTTGACATAATTATTCCAAGACGTGATGATTTATTTAGTGATTTAGTGAGATGTGTCCTTCTGGACCTTCCCCATTAGAGCCGCTTTCAGGATTGGATTTATTCCGCTATGACCATTCAGAGTTTACGGAGATGGATTCTCTTTCCCCATCTCATCTCAATGCTGGCAAGAATCAACGGACCAAAGGTCTCTTCCCATGACCCTTGCAGAGAAAACCTTTCTTTGAGCTATGCACATGATCAATCTCCCCTTTTAAAGTTAAGGGCTGATGTTGGGTTGGGTTGGGTCGGGTTGATGTTCGGGTTAGGGTTTGAGTTAAAATTCATGAATCCGACTTTATTTTTTGTTGGGTTAGGGTTGACCCCTTAGCCAATCCAACCCAACCCAAACCCAATTCTATAGTACATGTCATATATAAATATATGTTATATGT